AAAAAAAAAAAAAAAAAAAAAAAAAACAGCACTAGCCGTATGCTCGATGTTAATAACATTTTTGCAAGAAGTTTTGAGTGTGATGTTAGGTTTAATGCCTGCAAGCTGGCTCCAAAATTACTTTAACACCATCCATACCCTAAACCCACTCGAAAACAGGTATATGTCATACGCTATAATCTAAGAATATTCACAAGAATAATTTCAGCCTAAAATCAGCAGAAAAATAAGAATACTTCGGCCGGAAAAACAATATTCTTATAAGAAAAAAAAAAAAAAGAATGTGAGGGTTGAGATATACCCCTCCATTTTTCGTCCCCCTTTAAATGTATTAATTGTCAGGTTACATTTTAGACAGCTTTTAATTATTGTAACATGTTACAAGAGATTCTTAGGCCGGATTACTTATCGTATGATACATTGCCATTGTCTCCTTTCTCCATACCTCCATACCTGTCATCTTTTATTTACGTGCTTACTTAAGTGGCTTCAGTTTTANATCGTCAATGTATTTTTGGCTCAATTTTCCGAGTGTTAGGACGCCTTGGTTGTCACATAACTTAATAGTTCCTCCTGCAAATCCTGCGACATCCACGTCAAACTCATCGTTCCTGGGTTTCAGAAAAAAAAACGAATGGGTAATTGAGCTATAATGCTGCAATTTTATGACCATCTCCCTCGAATCCCTCATCCTTTGCGAGATTTTAAGAATGTTTTAACTATAAACCCGAGGCTGAGATTTTTAAAAGAATACAATTCTGTATGTTAAAAATTTACAAATACAATGCAATTATGTGCTTTTAACTAAAGCGAATAAAATTCTTCCTTTCCGGCTCTAAACGGCAAAACTAGCCAAAAGAAAAAAACAGAAGAAACAAAACAAACAAACAAACAAACAAACAAAACAGCACTAGCCGTATGTTCGATGTTGGTAACATTTTTGCAAGAAGTTATGAGCGTGATGTTAGGTTTAATGCCTGCAAGCTGGCTCCAAAATTACTTAAACACCATCCATACCCTAAACGCACTCGAAAACAGATATGTCATACGCTATAATATAAGAATATTCACAAGAATACTTTCAGCCTAAAATCGGCAGAAAAATAAGAATATTCAGCCTCTGCCGGAAAAACAATATTCTTATAAGAAAAAAAAAAAAAAAAAAAGAATGTGAGGGGGTTGAGATATACCCCTCCATTTTTCGTCCCCCTTTAAATGTATTAATTGCCAGGTTATATTTTAGACAGCTTTTAATTATTGTAACATGTTACATGATATCTCTCAAGGGAACTCCCAGGGAAAAGAATTTCTTAGACCGGATTACTTATCGTATTCTACATTGCCACCACGCACAAGATTTGCAAGTCTCCTTTCTCCATACCTCCATACCTGTCATCTTTTATTTACGTGCTTACTTAAGTGGCTTCAGTTTTATTGTGTTTGGCTTTAAGGAAAGATCTGGTCTGGATTTTTTGTACACAATTTGCAACGTTCATTAAATCATTAATCCGTCCAATGAGGACAGAAAATACCATTTTGCAAGTTGTTACTCGGCTATTGCGATAGCTTATTTTGATTAAGAGTGTTCCTAATGGTACCTGGCACCCATGTCAACCTTCTGTTTCATTGACAGCTCTTCATCTCTTATATTTGATGTGATGGATTCACAAACTGTCTCCTGTACAGCATCCTCGACATATCTCTCGAATCCTGCGAGGATTACAATTTCCGATTTTGCAAAAGGTCTTTTCCATAGTGGCCTATACTGCCTGACCACCAGTGCCAAGGGTTGTATTTTATCAGTTTCGCCGTGGAGGACTGGGAAATATTTATGACTAAAATTCTCTTGGGCAAACTTTCGAATCGCGTCTTCAATCATCTGAAAACAAAAGCAAATCGAAAAATAGTGTTGAATATCCCATTCGTCAAAGATCATGTAAACATAAACAAAATGTCATGCTGTCCTTTGATCCACTGTTGACAGAGTTAGCGATGAAACTCTTTTTTATGTATTTCGTAACAAAGTTCTGGAGATTTTTTGGTGCACTAGGCCTTCCCAGCATGAGATCAATAAAATGAAGCCGAATTATATCGCTTCTAAAATCATCATCTTGGGAGAATGCATAACCTTGCTCTTACTAACAGCAGAAGTGAAATGAAATCTTCCCCTTCCAATATTTCTAACTTTACTCTAGGAAGGTTTGTACAGTTTCATAGACTTGATGAATGCCACTCTTTTCTATTTCGTAAATAGGCATGGTGTTCGCAGATCTAATATACAACTTATTTGTTTCGATCAGATGCGATGTTTTAACCAGCGTGATGCTTGTGGGGAACTCTAATGAAATAGGAACTTGTCTTTCCCATTTAACGGTTGATCATTGTATTTAATTTAGCACACGATGAACAGATTTACAGAAAATTTCTCATTAGCAACAGCATGCTCCGGTAAACACACACAGACAATGCACTCGTAGAAAGCAAAAATGTTCATCACCGTGAGTCTGGTCACATCACGGTATGTGTGACAAGTGAAAGGCGGATGTGACAGGCAGCTCTTCTTACTTTATTTTTTCATATCAATCACAACACCAAAGGGCCTATCTGAAAAGATTACTTATTGCGTGGGGGTCCCAGTGGCATGTTAAAACAAGTAAGTCCAGTTCAATATTTGTAGTGTTGTCGTCCTCCACAAGGCTTCCCATCCCCGCTTAAATTAAAAGATGGATGGAAAACTAGAGGGTTTCAATTCCAAGTACGACGGAAAATTTTCGAAGGTTTTGTTATAGTTTGCCAGGGTATATACTTTTTCCCGACAAACCACGCTGCGTTTAGTTCAGAATTTTCCAACGTATGGTGACTTGTGTATTAGTAACGAACTAGTTGAATACCGGAAATAGGCCGAACAAATTGCTAAGAATATATCACATCACACCACAGAACGGAATTTGACTCAAATATTTTATTACCGAAGCCCTAAAATTCCTTCGACATTTCAAAATGAAAAATAATTAATATTTAAAAAAAGTAAAACGCCGTGAATAGAATATTCCAAAAATGCGCGTTCAGTTTTGAGGATTTACAAAGATGTTATTTAGGTCGGCGTTTTAGTTTATGTGAAGGAACGTTTCTTTTTTCCTTCAAAAAATTACTAAATTGTATACTACATTGAAAATGATCGGGGTTTTCTTGCACACGAAGGTTAAATCTCCATCTTATGAGCACCATCAGAGGAAGACAAATCTTAAAGGAGCTCAGTGTCACGGTTTTGCGCTTCTCAAAAAGTTTAGCTGAAATTTTTTAAGTTGCGTTTGGTTGTTTTAACTTCGTATGAATCGTATTCATCCTCGTGTTCTTTTATGGTTTATTTTTATCTCTTTAGGTCTTTTTCTATCTTTATAGAAACTACTGTTTTCAGGTTGAAATAACTGTACGTAAAACTACTGTGATTGAGCTCTAAGCTCTCTGCACTGACAACTCAATAAAAAGCCTGCTACATTATAATTAAATACATGTATAACAGGAAGATAGCTAGGAAAACCATGGAATTGTCATACCGTAAAATCGGGCACGACGTGTTGCTTGGGTTGACCTTGCTTTAACCAATTAACTCAAGATAAGTTCAGTCAGCTAAAGGCACTTCTTACTTAGCGAGGAAACGAAGCGAGTCGTCGTGTCTTCTCCAAGAATATTCTTGGTACATCCGCTATCGTTGCTTCTTTCGGTTTCTTGAAATGACGTTTGCTAGATAAGGACGTCATCATTAAAATCCAGTTCGTTGGGACTAGACTGTAATAGGCGTTCGCCGCCGTATTTAAATAGAAATCCCTTGCAATCGAAAACTACCACGAATGCTTGTGTCAATCCGTCAAGGTTTGATAGTTAAGGGAAAAAGTATTGTTGTCTTTTTCCGCTGCCGTGACATGTGTCCTTTACGAAACCAAAAGTATAAATACTTGGTATGCATTTTGGCTTGTTGTTATTATTAATTTTTTCAGTATTTCTTAAACCAAGAGAAGATAATAGCGGAGGGTCGTCGAATTAATACAGTCGACCAGGGCAAGGCTGAAGGTAACGTCCAGTTCGCGCAGCTTCGGGTATTTTTTTTAAATATGTACATAATTTTAGCAAGGTCACGATAACGCACCAGGAGAAATTGTATCATCACTTCTTGCGCCTGCGATGAAGACTAGAATACGTGCAATTGCTATTTCTGAACTCTCCAAGAGTTACGAATCACATGCTTGTATCTCCGTCAGCTATTTTGGTTTCGGAAGAAAGCGAAATAAAGAGAAAGAATTACGTGCCGAAAAAAAAAGCATTAACAGCAGAAATTAAAACTAGATAATAATTCAAACTGCGATTATAGAATATGTAACGCGTGTCCGTAGCGCATGACGCGAGCGTGACTGCTTCAGTATCTTGAAGATCGAGACCGTGTGCTCTGGGAGGTAATGTAATTTCACAATAGGACGCTATGTACACGAAATAAACGCTGTTTTCCTCCTGTACACTTGGAGATTCCACACAATCAGCCGTGAATGGGTAGGGGAGAGTGTGGGTCCCAGTCGCTCTTCATTTTCGTTGGATTATCCAGCCCCCTCCTCCCGGAGGCCCTCCCATGTGCAAAAGTCGGGGATGCAATTTTCACACCCTAACTGCCTCTCACCCTTCGTTGACGAGGGCATTGTGACTAGATTAAAAAGCTATTAAAAATGTCATTGAGCTGTTTTGCACTAGGGGTCGGCTCGATATAAGAGCATAAATATGCATCATAACTCTTGATTCTACTCGACCGGATTTCTCTGGTCCGCTTAATAAAGTATGGAAAATCAATAACAATATATAAATCGGTAAGAGAATACCTTTATTTAACCGCGAATGCACCTCTTCTTTACAACTTTTTCGGAGTTTTAAAGACCTATAATTGCAGCTTGATATATATTGCTGCTTGTGAAATTATTCCTAATACCTTGATAATCTAACGACATTTTTAACGACCCTTGGGTCACAATTATTGCAATCGAATTTCATTAAGTAACAAAGAAGTAAGGAGGGCATTAATTAAGAAAACGTTATCCTTTAAACACCACATTTGGAATGGTTCTGTCTGTAGCCAGCTTGTTCAGTTTACTCATCCAAAGTCGTCTCCAGTTCACTCCATTGCTCATCTGGTAACTCTGTTGGGACAAAACAGTGATCTGCAAGTCATTTTCTCCTAACAATGCCACGGCCAAATCTAGTTTTGAAGCCACCACTATTGGTTTGAACAAGCCAACCTTTCATTTTCCCCTTGAGAACCCCTGGATGGCAATAAAGGAATAAGTGTGGAGAAACTGTAACATGTCGTAAGCTAGTTGCAAATGGGACAGCGCGGCACAAATGTCAATTGTTGCCGAAAAACGTTTGTACTAAAGGCCCAAAATTTCCCCACTCCCCGCTCCGCTGTTGAAACAAGAAAGAACTTATCTTCACACTGGACTGAATGCATAGAACTCTTAACCGATTATTGCTTGTTTACTGAGGTGAATAACCCTTTTGAATGCATGGGGGCATCGAACCAAAATAAACAGAAACATATGTGGTGGATAAGACTAGGCTAGACAGAGATCAAGTTCATACCACTTAGCACTTTAAAGACAATTCCATATCCCTGAATGTCTTCCTTCGTGAAAGATGACAGATCAAGCTTAGTAGAATTCTTGGAGAAAGGAAGGGCGATGCTTTTTAGAAACTTGCAGTCTTCTGAAGTCAATGGCTCATCAAGCAACAGCTCCTTTTGGTCTGTGGTCAATACCCGTTCAAACTGTTGAAAAAGATGTCTTCTTTTTAGCATATAAAAGCTTGAAGAATAATTTGCTTGCCTTAAAACACAGAAAAATAACCAAATGCCTCCTAATGTAGTTCTTGAAAACTATTCATAAGATAATCATCTAGGAAATCTAGTGTCGGGCCGTTTAATTGGTGAACAATTACTTTGTAGAATGTAGTTAGCGATGTGTGTTTTCTTTGTTATAATGCATGGATTTTATGTCATGAAGCCCTCTAACATCTTCCAACTTCACTTACCCATTGTAGATATTTGTTAACTCGCGCTTTACGTCGTTCTAAAGTCCTTTCCGCAAGCAGCACTTCTTTTTTGATAATGTCCAGTTTAACAATATCTTCGGCAGTCAAAGAATCTAGTCAATAAGATAAAAAACACTTGTGAAAAACAACATTAGACATAAATCACTATAACAGTTTCCTACTTTTTTTTCCTAAAAAGCAATGAACTTTTGCAAGAGAGGATGAACGATAAGAGAAATAATCCTCCATATAGGTCCTAGTCTCAATAAAAATCTGTTTCAAGTTATTTTTACACATGGCACCCTTTCCTTTCACGAAAATGTTACCAGTTGCGACGTGTAAATATTTTTGTGGGGGATGAAAATACCAGTAAAGACGCTCGGGTTGTCCACGCGGGCAATTGTTTTTTACAGGATTGACTATTTCTAGCCCATCCTGGAGTTTCTTATCTGGAATGTGATCTGATTATTCTTCATGCTCTCTTCCCATTAGCAACGAGTTCGACAAAGTAACGCGAGAGCAAGAACAGAGGTAATGCTAGCTATTTTTGAGGAAGATGAAAATACCTGTAAAGCCTACAAAGCAATTGCCTTCGCTCAAAGCTTACTCTATCAAAACTTTCAAAAAGAAATAACCCTCAGACGTTTACTGAGCCCATTTATTGAGGGAATGAGAAAAAACTGTCATTAAAGTCAGAAGGCAGCTCTTTAATCTAGGTTTCTATGGCAATTATACATCTGTTTCTCTGACCTGACAAATCGTCATCTTCATCCGTATATATCTCTACTGGCAGTGAGTCGCTATACTCAGCATCTTGCATTTTGGTTGAGTGGTCCAAATCCGCTGTAACAGTCTTACCCACGTACTCTCCTTTGCGGATTTCCAGTCGATTGACTTCTTTATTGTAGCCAACGCGGCAACACTTGAAGAGAAATGGCGCTCGTAAAGTTCTTGATGCCACTTCTGGGGGAATGTACGTCCCCTTACAATGCGCTTTCAGATGTGGTAGTAGAATCTGGACAAACGGCGGCATCTCCACCTATAATGCAAGCGAGTGAAAAGGGCTTGATACAATAATGGTAGTTTTGCTGCAATGTATGAGAAGATGAAGGGTTTAGAGAGTCAATAATTATTTCCAATGTAGTCACTGTCAAATTATTTTTAGACTTGGTACCCAGTTCTTCCCCGGATACAGTTTTTAGAGGTACGTTTTGAAGATGCTTTCATAGGAAATGAAAATAAGGGCTGTCCACGAGAGTAAGATAAGCTTTTTTGGCACTCTCATATCCTTATACCAATGGCTCTCTCTGTCAAAGAAGCTATCGAAACATTATTTAAACGAAAACAATCCAAACTGCAGTCTGGGTTTTGCACTACGCCAAAAATGAAGATACAAACAAAGTATTTAAAGGAGGTATGGGAACCCAAAAAATACAAATCAGAAGAGCAACTTTGCTAATACAATTTTTAGAATTCGAAACACAACATATGTTGGACAAAATTAATACCTGACGCTTTCTTTTCCCTCTAAGCACAAATTTATCGCTGTAAATCACAGACGTTGCAAGAAGTAGCTCTTGATCCTCAAAATCCTTCATTCTTTTGGCATCCAGTTCTGCATTAGCCAGTACAGTGCGGAGATCTGGGTCTGAAATGTAGTCCTGACTTAAGTTGCCAAGCTTCAGGACTCCCTGCTCATCACTTGATTTGAACGTTCCCTCGGTTACATGTCCTCCTATCTCTACGCGGAGCTCATGAGAACTGGGTTTGAGGAAAACAAGAACTGTGCGTTAGTCGATACATTACGTTCTGTGAACAACACTTCACCTTTCCCAGCTACAGGATGCAATGTGTACATTCTGGTTCAGTAACTCTATTTGGAGGTTAACCACCATAATATATAAAGCTTGAACAGTAGTTCAAGCGATGTATGAATTTTATTCGGATAGGAAGTGTAGCAAATAAAAGATGGATTTGAATTTAATTGCCACTTGATGCATACCTTGACCCCATGCCAACTTTTTGTGTCTTTAAGAACTCTTCTTTTGTGATTTTGGACCTAACGGATTCAAGGAATGCTTCTTCTCCGCCACTCTCCACATATCTCTCAAGTCCTGCAAGAATTACCATTTCCAATTTTGCAAAAGGACGCTTCCATATCGACCGACGTTGTTTGACTACAAGTGCCAAAGGCTTGACATTGCCTGTTTCACCGTGGAGGACTGGTAAGTACTTGTCGCTAAAGTTCTCCTGAGCAAATCTTCGAAGTGAGTCTGCAATCATCTGAAAACAAAACGGGGATAAACGTTATCGGGAATTCCTATATTATAGCAGTCTAATAGAGATAACAGAGGTAAGTCACCGCATGACGGTAAGAGTTACATTTGTGTGAATTCAGCACGGCCTGTTGATAGAATAGCTTTGGAGTAAAACCGAAAAACACACGTTGTTCTGCCCAGCTTTTGTCACTGAGTACCTCGGTGCGGTTTTTGGTATAGTTCTTAGATCTATAGACTACAATGAATATAATGTGTCACGAAAGCTCAGTCCCTTTTCTTCACTACTTCGCAACAGACATTAATACTGAAAGAACTGAGTTCGTGGATATAAGGAGGCGAAAAGCTAAGACAGCTTAATTTACGAAACCCAGTATTTCACGGAAGGAGTGGTGTGTCGAGATCACGATTCATGTAGTCGAGCACTGAACCTAATTATTGTCCAGATGTGGCAGATATTCATAGACAAGAACCCTGACAAAAAAATTTTGCTCTTCATCTAAAGGTGACAAATGAACATCCGCAATTCTCTTTGTGTCAGGCGAACTGCCTAAAGGCTGGCAACTATAAACCATTGGCTGCCTTCTCAGTCGATATATAGAATGAAAATAGCTAGGTGGTTTGGAAAACGTACCGTGAACTCCCGGCTGGCTTAGCTGCTTGAACGTATGGTACCATAAACCTTGTAGATTGACGAATGAAAACTGAAATTATACTGAAGACCATAGATATCCATGACATGGTAAAAGAACTGATAACTTCCGGTATAGTAAGAACAATAATAAAATAGAATTCTTAACCATGAAAATAGAAACTCGTCATCACATAACATGAAAGCAAAACTGAGCGCGTCGAAGCAACGGAAGTCTGGTGAATAAATAAACAATGTTCTTACCCGCTAGTTTTTAACAAAAACAGAGCGTTTGTTTTTTACAATAACAAATTGTCGACTTGTCCGCTCTCGNCCACCTAAAATGCAAGCAAGTGAAAAGCGCTTGTGACATTGATGATCACATTTTTGCGGGCCCATATGGTATCGAAATATATCGGTCATGGCAGGGCTACCGCCAAGCAAAAGTGGATGTTGGGTTAGAAAGTCAATCCCCCATAAAGGCCCCGTTCACTGTGTAGTCTACTGCGGATAATGCGTTGCGATAATGCTTCGTGGAAGATGCAAATACGGCCAAAGAGCATTCAAAGATATTATTTGGACAAAAACTCGGATTCAGTTGGCAAATCACACTCTAAATTCTAAAATGAAGAGGCAAACACAATTTAAAGAAGGTATGAGATCTTATATTAGAAAAAAGTGGAGCAAAATTTGCTGTCGGCTACAATATTACACTTCGTCACACAATATATGTTATACAAAATTGATACCTGACGCATTCTTTTCCCTATGAGTACAAATTTGTCGCTGTAAATCACAGACGTTGCAAGAAGTAGCTCTTGATCTTCAAAATCCTTCATTTTGTTGGCATCCAGGTCAGCATTAGCCAGTACAGCGCGGAGATCTGGGTCTGAAATGTAGTCCTGACTTAAATTGCCAAGCTGCAGGACTCCCTGCTCATCACTTGATTTGAACGTTCCCTCGGTCACATGTCCTCCTATCTCTACCCGGAGCTCATGAGAACTGGGTTTAAGAAAAACAAGAACTGGGCGTTGGTCGATAAATTACGTAATATATCAAACACGAAAGACTGTGTTTGACTGCATTTCCAAACACTGAGAAGAGGGCTGGAAATATGATGCGCAAGCGTTTTTAACGAACTTGCAAGGTGTTTGGAATGTAGTCGAACATTTTCTTGAGTGTTTGATGAGTTCTCAATCGAAACTAAAACTAAGGAGAAAACGGACAAATAAAATCGTAAAAATCTATGATAATTAAGATCTGAAATGCAGACACCATCACGGTCTTGATTTCCTTTGTTTAAACACAATGAATTATTAATGAGTTTGAGAAGTTCTGTAAACAACACTTCTACTTCCTCAGCTACAGGATGCAATCTTTACATTCCAGTTAGCTCTATTTGGAAGTCACAATCCATAATATGTAGTTGTGGTGTGTTTGGAGCATTTTTTTAGCAGTTAAAGTAGGGAAATTATGTCTCGACGCAGTTGGCACTGAAGGCCGTTATTTTGTTATTTTTACCCGTAAATTATTATGCAGCACGTATGGAGAAAAATACTACGAGAAGGACACAATGGAAATCGGCAAATTTCTAAAATATTGAGCGCAGATTGAAAGTCGCTCTCGTTGAGTGAGTACAGTCTCTCTGTAAAGTTATTTTTTCAACTATGGCATATTACACTAGTATAGCTAGAGCTTACTCCAGTTTAAATGGCTAATTATGTAATGTATTTGCCTTTGCTTTTCTCGCTGACGTTGAGATAAAAGACAAACATTTTTTATTGCTCAAATAGTAGTGTCGTAAGCTCAGAACCAGTCCTCCAAGGGATGTATAACTTTGATTCGGATAAGTAATGTAATATGGATCTTGTTTAACGGCCTACACAAGATTTGCCCAAGAAGATGGTTATAATTTCAAAATTACAAGCTTAATACATACCTGGAGCCCATGCCAACTTTTTGTGTCTTTAAGAACTCTTCTTTTGTGATTTTAGATTTAACAGATTCAAGGAATGCTTCCTCCGCGCCGCTCTCTAAATATCTCTCAAGTCCTGCAAGAATTACCATTTCCAATTTTGCAAAAGGACGCTTCCATATCGACCGATGTTGTTTGACTACCAGTGCCAAAGGCTTGACATTTTCTGTTTCGCCGTGGAGGACTGGTAAGTACTTGTCGCTAAAATTCTCTTGGGCAAACCTTCGAAGCGAGTCTGCAATCATCTGAAACCAAAATGGGGATAAAATCTTGAATCGAAATTCTCTATTTACAAGTGTTTTTTTTTATAACCGTCGAATAGAGCAAAGCCACCCAATCAAGTGAGAGTTACATTAGTGTAAATCAGTTCTTTTATAGAATATATAGCTTTGAAAGTAAAACCATAATACAAAAGTATTCTGCCTAGCTTCTGACAGGGACTTCGGAGTGCCTTCTTTGCTATATTTCTTAAAGCTACATACAACTGTTTGTCAATGAAATGAATATACCACAAAAGCGCAGTCCCCCTTCAAATTCGAAACAAACATTAATGCTGAATGACATGATGAATTCGTGGATATTGAAGGCGGGAAAAAGCTAACACAGATTAAGACGAAACCCCATAAGAAATCAAGCAATTTCAGTTTTTTGTGGAGAAAAACCTTGTACCAGAATAATTGTGAGTATAGTACTGTCCTTTTTGAATTTTCTAAAAGCTAAATAA